ACCAAAAATCCTATCATAAAGCTTCTGTCTGGGAGAAACAAGAGGGGTTCTGAGCTGGTAGCAAAGGACTCTGTCTTTTCTAGGAATTTTATAGAATAAAATCGTGTGGTGAGATAGGTTTAAAATGGATTAGATTACTGAAGTTACTGAGGAGATAAATTAGCACAGTAGAGAAGCAGAATATAAGAAATGTAAAAGTGGCCTTTTACTTAAACAATGTGGAGAGGAGCCCACAGCCCCCAGGGGTTTGGCTTTTTTTTTTCCAACTGACTATGGGGTTATGGGGTATATGTGACTTTTGACTGGATGTGGTGCTTGAGGGGAGATTGATGTCATGCAAGAGCTGATTGGAATTTTCATTAGGACCCTGGGAAAGAAAGAGGAAGTTGTAATTAAGGAGAATAGAGGAAGTGGCCATATGAATAAGCATCCCTGATTTCACCTTCTTCCACTTTGAACTACCACCATGAGGTCCTGTAATTGTTTCTAGGGTAAAACACTTTGAAGTACATCCTTTGATTGGAATGAAGAAATCAAAATAAAGAATGTACTTATTGAGAGAAAAAAAGCTGCCTGAGAGAGATAAGGGGTCCTGAGCAGGTTGCTAAGCACTGTCCTTTCTAGGGACCTTTATGGAGTAAAATCATGTGGTGAAATGAGTTTAAGGTGGGGAAAACTAGGAACTCACAATGCAGATGGGCATAAGATGGGTCAGAGCTATGGTACCCAATAGGATTATTAAGTTCAGGAAAAGCTGATTAAATTGGGAGCAAAGGGGGAAGCGAGTCACATAGAAAGCAGGCATTCTTAGGCAGCTGTGACGCTTCCCTTAGGGGTTTAGGAGGGTGATATCTGAGTTCCTCAGTATAACAGGAACTATTTAGAATGTCAGTCTTTAGGATAAGGATACATTTCTTTGAATGGTGACACCTAACTTCCTCAGAGTGCTAGGGAACTATTTAGAATATCTATCCTTAGAATATGGATGAATTTGTTTATCATTGTCTTGAGCCTTGGCCCATAGCATGAGGTATCAGTCTTCCCCATAGTTGCAAGGTATCTGGTCTCCTGCATTAGCTCCTTGGAGGACCTAGCCTTGGTTCATGTCAAGAGTATTTAAGTAACTCAGGTGCCTGTAACAGTACTTTTTTGAAAATTGATTAGAGATGTCTTGTGCTCTGGGTGAGTGATCTGGGGATGACAATGTGCAATGTATATACCAGTGTTGCCCTCTGACATGTTTTGAAATTCAATTTTAGTTGATGTGCTCTTTTATCCTTGAAATAAAATGGATTTGAACATTAAAAGCCTGAGGTAACGCTCTTCAGTACAAACACTCCTCTGTCTAGCTCAGTTCACCGCTGTAGAAGAATGGCAGGTCCAGAAGTCTCTGCACTACAGTCTATCATTTGGGATCCTGTCTTGCAGGGAGGGGTTCCTTTCCCTGTTTATTGTTGACTCAGAAGGAAGGCAGTAGAGCAGGAGTCAATCAGTGATGAAGGGGCAGGCTATATGAACTGTCCAATCAGGTGGGCCATTGCTGGCTGTGAATTCTGTCTCTTCCAGTGTCTCAGCATGATTTATCTGTTCTGAGTATAATACTGGTAGCCAAATGCTTGCTCGATCTCATTTAGTCCTTTTGATGTCCTGTAGCCTGATTAGCAAAGATCCTGAGAGATCCTGGAACCATGGAATAGTGAGTTTGTGGATGGGAGCCCAGAAGTAGGGTGGATTGGGTAAAACCAGTTACAAGTATTTAGGAGTAGTTCCGGTGTCTGGAGTCCCAGGTATTTAGTTAGCTTCAGCTCCTGAAGTCCTCCAGCATTGACCATGGGTCATTCACTGTCCCTTTTGTCTCTTGCTGTTGGCAAGGGTGATTTGGGGTCCCCAGTACCCTGGCTTCACTATGACAGCAGTAGACTCAAGTATCATCTTTGAAATTCATTGCTAGCCTGGTAACTCCTCAATCTTAGGCACTAGAGGAAGTTGGGAAGACCCTGACTATGGTGCTTTTTGTAGCTTGTAGAGCAATAATGAGCTAGCTCTCTGCCCCCTTTCCTCAGAGTAGCAGATCTAGAATGTCCGGAGTTTATTAATGTTTGTAATGCAGGGCCTCATAGCCACAATGGCTCAACTTAAACTTGGGCTTTTTTGTATTTATAGTGATCTCCTCAATTTATACTATGTTCTCATATTTCCATCCTCATGACAGGTAGTGGCAAAGTTCCTGAGAATGCAGAGATGTGTAGTAGTGTGCCTCAGTGGAAAAAGTCTTCCCAAACAACTGGTGAACTCCTGTGTATTATACAGATCAGTGCAAAATAATTTCTGAACATACTTAATTATTTAGGTGGCACCCTTGCTCACAGACTAGGTTTGTGAGAACAGCCATAGAGTTTTGAAGTCTGAGAAAAATGAAGCAAATGTGAAAGTGTTATCAAGGACGGGATAAAAATTTGTGAAGGACAAATTCCAGAAAGAGCTACCTGTTAAATTCTCATCGAAAAATTTTGAAATTTAGGCATTTGCATGGACATATACACGTAATATCCTTCTGAATCGAAAGGAATAGGTGTGTCATCTCTGAATTAAGACCTGGTTTAGTGACTTGGTTTTTCATAGACAGTTTAAATATGGAAATGCTCTGCAGTGGAATTTACTAAGTGGTGTAAAGGAGAAGCTCTAAACAGAAATTTTGCAGTGATATCAATAGTTAGGCATGAAGGGTTTCATGCTGAGGATGGATCAGAGGAGCGTGGAAAGGATGTGCAAGTGACTGACAGAATGCAGGAAGCCAATAGCAGGACATACAACAGAGAGGGTCTTCACTGAAATTCAGGTAGTTCTTAGAGTAAGTGTGAAGTTAAAGTTGGGTTCTGATTGCTTCCTTGAGGTGATGAACACCAGCTCTGGCAAAAATCAGTATTTCACATCCTTGTCAACCCATGAATTTTCTGTTCCATACTTGAGATCTAATCTTGATTATCTCTAATTATGCCGCAGTGTCATGAAGGTAAAATGTGGACTTTTTTTGTACCAAGGATCAAACTCATGACCTATGCTTTCCAGGCAGGTGTTCATGCTACTGAGCTAAATACCCAACTATGAAAGTGTTTTCTTTGTTGTATGGAAGATATCCACATTGTTTCTCAGAAAGTGTTGAATATTGTTGGAATTTTTCCATATTGTATGGCTATAATTTTTAAAACCAAACCACAGGTGTCTTATGCAGTCTCTTTTCAAGTTTCACTTTGTCTGTGGGGTGTCACAGTCAGGGCTTCTCTATGTTAGACAGCTCTGTAACTTAGGATAGCCCCAAATTCACGGAAGAAGTCCTTCATCAGCCTCGCAAGATATATTCCTTATATCTGAATTGAAAGTGAACGCTTGGTGACAGTGAGCTATAAATTACAGCTTGGGCCTGGTTCCATTTTATATAGTTATTTTTTAAAAACAGCATTTTCCACTAACATTTGAGTTATTATTTGTGTACCATATTGGATGTTATTTATGTTTTGTTCTATGAAACCAAATTCATGTTTCAAAATGCTGCTGAAGTATATTAAGAACAAAGTACTCACTGGCCTAAATGAGATTTGAAGAGACATTATCTGCAGCCTATCAAAGTGATTGATGAGTTTTTTTTCTTTTTTTAAATTTTGAAAGTGGTAAAATACAACAGAATAAGGCCAACTAAGATCATACAGTGAAATTGGTACACAACTTCACAACTGGTCACTGCGATAACAGTAATAGTTATCACAGTATATTTTATTATCTTTATAATAGTTGTTCTTTTTTTTTTTTTTGTCTTTCTTCCTTTTTATTAGTACCGGGGATCGAGCCCATGACTGTCTGCTTCCAAGGCAGTTGCTTATGCTGCTGAGCTAAATCCCCAGCCCCAATAGTTGTTCTTTCAAACACGTATATCAAAATGAGATGAAATACCGAACATTATAGTACTTATCAAAACAGAATATTGAATAGAGCAATACCATTAATCAGAAAAGAGCAAAACAGAAATAAAAATATTCGCCTTCAAAGAGATAGTAGAAGAAAGTCCCCCTTATTTGTTATGGTCTGCTTCCCAGGAGACACTCAGATTTCTGGTTCCCTTTTGCTAATGGGGGTTGACAGGAGAAGAGGGGTAGGGAAGTGGGATGTTTGATTCTAGGCCATGCATCAGTAGGTTCACTATTGCTTAGTAGGGAGACAGGCCAGTTGTTTGGTTTCACAGCGTCCTAAGTTCCCACATGGTGTGGATCTCAGGAGGTGCTGCTGGTTCTCCCCCTGGAAGGGCAGCATTCTGCCAGACCTCCACCACTTACCAGGGAGAAGTGGTGCTTGCTTGCCTTCCAAGTGTCCTAAATTCCAGCATGGCATGGATCTTAGGAGCTGCTGCTGGTTTGCCCCCTGGATGGGCCACACCGCCACCACTTACCAGGGAAAGCAGGTGCTTGCTTGGCTTCCCAGTTGATTGAGGTGATATTTTTCTGCCTCTGTGCTTTGTGGGTGCTGGTCCTGCAGGCTTCTCACTGTGAGCTCTGCATTAGAGACAGTACACAGGGAATATTGCAGTGACTCAGCACAAGAATCAGTGCTCCTATTTGACTGTTACATTATCAGTGAGTTGCAATCTATCATCAAATTTGCTGTCTTCAATAATGTGTATATACTCAAAATTAATGACCAAGACTTGGATTTAAATTTGAAGAAATCAGTCTTCATTCAGCTGTTTAGTTTGGTTGTATTTGTTTAGTTTTGTTTTGTTTTATTGAGACAAGCTTTCTATATGTATATCAGCTAGATTTGAACACCCTATGGAGTCTGGAATTGCCCTGAACTCACTGAAACCATCCTGCCTCAGCCCTTTGAGTGCTGGCATTATAGATATATACCACCACACTTTGCTTTTGATTCAGATTTGTAGGAGAGAATTTAAGATATCCCAAACCTGGTGTCTCAACCTTCATGTGAGAAATATATGTATGATCCTTTAGGAGGTGGTGACCTTTGAGGATGTGGTCGTGAACTTCAGCAATGAGGAGTGGACTTTGCTGAGTCCATCCCAAAAGAACCTCTACAGAGATGTGATGGGCGAAACCTTTAGGAACATGACTGCAATAGGTAATGACAAAATACTTTTGTCACTCATGCTGTCAGAATGTTGTATGTCGCTGTTTCATTAAAAGCAATGTGAAAAGGGGCTGGGGGTTTAGCTCAGCAGCATAAGCGCCTGCCTTGAAAGCAGGCAGTCGTGAGTTCGATCCCTGGTACCGGTAAAAAGGAAAAAGACCAAAAAAAAAAAAAAAAAAAAAAAAAGCAATGTGAAAATATTTTTAAAAATAGCTCAGACCTGGACACATTATATCATAACTCTAAACAAAATCTATTAATTTGTATGTATTATTCTAATGAGCACTGGTATTTCTATGTCTACAATTCAGGAGGACTTGGGGATATCCAGGAAGCTGAAAAAGAATGCAAAATTTACTGGACATACTTAAGGTAATTCCCACTCATAAGGAGAAGGAATGTTCCTGAGTAATTAGTGAGTCAGCAGAAAAATACCACCAAAGAAATGAGGCACCATTCAGTTTATTGTCAGTAATATTCTCTGAAGACGTATAAGCTAGGGTATGTATAATGAGTGGATTAAATCAAGAAAATGTATGACATTGCATATAGATGTGTATGAAAGGCATACACTTTGAGTTATGACATTCTCTCTTCAGTTTTTCTACCTATATATACATGTGAATACAACACATTCATCATCTAAAAATTGCTAAGATTGCAGTAGAATTTGAAATAAAACGGCGTTCTTGTGTTTCCAAGCCATGCTCTGAAGAATCAGCCATTCTGACTAAAATTCTTAGAAGGCTGCTAGAATGTTAAGTGCACTCATTCTGAATATCAGTGTGCAGTTGTCTCTAGAAATTGATCCCCTCATACTTGTCCTGGATATATTTTTAAAAATTCAAAATGCACATAAAATACTGATACATGCTTACTCATATACAAAGCAGATCAAGTTATAATAGATCAGGCATTGATGAAGCTTAGCTATCTATCACTGGATTTGTGGAGAAGAAAAATGTTAATAGACTCTTTGTGATTGTGCATTCTTGTAAATCCAGCACACTAGGAGTCAGATTTTGCAGAATTGCACATTCAAGTTCAAACGTCACAGCTTAATGATCAGCGAAATTCTCTTAAAACATATTTAAAAAGATATAGATTTTATGATAATAGCTGTTGTTCATTCCCAGCACGGAAAAGAAAAAATGTGTTACATAATGTCAAAAAAACAAATAATGTAATGTCATTTGCCATAAGAAATAGGTGGTTCTTTCTCCCATCAATTTGATGAAATAGCTCAGCTATGAAACCTAAAAGTTCACAGGGTTTCTCTTAGATGAGAAACCAAAATATAAATTGTGGAATGAAATGAAAGAGTTAATAGAGAAAAATAAGACTGACCATATGGAAAAGGGAACTACAGGTTAAGGACAGAAGGGAGATTGTGATGGTGAAACATACCATAATGATTTGTATGTGATACACATATGTATCCATGCCCAAAGTGAAGATAAAGATTCTGCGTTTCAAAAGGTACCAAATTTTAAGATTTCCAAATGTGTACCAGTCTTTTGGGAATGGTTGTTTTCAACATATCTTACAAGGCCATTCTGTTGCTTCATGGTCAGAATTTCTTAGCAGGCATTAAAAACAGAACTTGACATTAATGCAGTCATGAAACTGAGACCCATTTCACTGTGAATGTTTCTTTTTTATTTAATGTAAGGAAAGACTAAAAAAAAACAAAATAAGTAGAAATGATACCACTTTCAAAGTGAAAATAAGCAGTAAGAAATCTAAAGACAGTGATTACATATGCTGCTCATAGAAATAGTTAATGAAATACAAAAACGAAACATACGATGTGGGGATTCAAACAGTGAGACTATAAACAATTTTGTTCAAATCTCCAATAAAAACTTACTTATATGGTTATCAATCCGATATGTGATTTTTTTTTTTTTTTTTTTTTTTTACAGAAATGACAAGGTAGGGAAATCCTATGGACGTACATCTTGGAATCAGTGTAGAGAAGTATTCCTTTGTACTGCAGAAGGTAATGTGAATGTGAAAGAAGCAGAAACACACCACAATGTTCAGATCCATGAAACATATGGCACTAGTGAGAAATCCTATGTATGTCAGCAATGTGGAAAAGGGTTCACCAAATCTCGACATTGTAAGCAACATGAAAGAATTCACACTGGAGTGAAACCATATGTATGTAAGAAATGTGGGAAAGCTTTTAACACATGGACAAATTGTAAAATACATGAAAGAAATCACACTGGAGAGAAACCCTATGTATGTAAGCAGTGTGGGAAAGCTTTTGAGAAACGGGCAAACTGTAAAATACATGAAAGAATTCACACTGGAGAGAAACCCTATGTATGTAAGCAATGTGGGAAAGGTTTCACACAACATGGAACTTGTAAGCAACATGAAAGGATTCACACTGGCGAGAAACCATATGTATGTAAGCAATGTGGGAAAGCTTTTACCCGACATGGACTTTGTAAGCAACATGAAAGAATTCACACTGGAGAGAAACCCTATGTATGTAAGCAATGTGGAAAAGCTTTTAACACATGGGGAATTTTTAAGAATCATGAAAGAATTCACACTGGAGAGAAACCCTATGTATGTAAGCAATGTGGGAAAGGTTTTACCCGACATGGAAATTGTAAGAAACATGAAAGTATTCACACTGAAGAGAAACCATATTTATGTGAGCAATGTGGAAAAGCTTTTAACACACGTGCGCATTGTAAGGTTCATGAAAGAATTCACACTGGAGTGAAACCATATGTATGTAAGCAATGTGGGAAAGCTTTTAACACATGGACAAATTGTAAAATACATGAAAGAATTCACACTGGAGAGAAACCCTATGTATGTAAGCAATGTGGGAAAGCTTTTAACACATGGGGAGATTTTAAGAAACATGAAAGAATTCACACTGGAGAGAAACCATATGTATGTAAGGAATGTGGGAAAGCTTTTAGCACACGGGCAAATTGTAAAATACATGAAAGAATTCACACTGGAGAGAAACCCTATGTATGTAAGCAATGTGGGAAAGCTTTTAACACATGGGCAAACTGTAAAATACATGAAAGAATTCACACTGGAGAGAAACCCTATGTATGTAAGCAATGTGGGAAAGCTTTTACCCAACATGGACATTGTAAGCAACATGAAAGTTCACACTCAAGATAAAACCAGTGTATATAAGCATCATGAAAATTTTTTAAGCACAAGTACATATTGCATAATGCGTGAAAAACTTCACACAGGCAGAAAACTTGTATATGTAAGGAATGTGGGAAAGGTTTCAGCAGAAATGCTCATTGTCCAATACATGAAAAAATTTACAATGTTGAGAAACCCTGTTTATGTGAAGAATGTGGGAAAGCTTTCACCACACATGGATTTGTAAAATACATCAATGACTCCACTCTTGTGAGAAAACCTATGTATATAACAATGTGGCAAAGCTTTTACCACATACAGTCATTGCAAAACACATGAAAGAATTCACACTGGGAAGAACCACTGGCTATGTAAGCATGTGGAGACACTTTCAGCAGCCAGATTGTAAGTGAAATACATGAAGAAGCTCACACAAGAGATAAATCCTATGTGTTATGAAAATACTCTCAACACACATGATCATATTTACATATCTGAAAGAGTTCACTTTATCCTATGTGCATTAACAATGTGATAAATATGGCTATCCATGTTTGTTGTTAAATACATAGAAAAAGCAGCACTCTTGAGACAGTTTAAATCTAAGTTTACTTTAAAAATTCCAAGTAGACCTGAAGAAATAATCAATACAGAAGTTTGATATCAATATTTCTTCAGAAATGACAAATCTGAAGTGGAGCTCTACTCAAGTACATATTTTGTATGGTTTTCAGTTAATCACTTATACCTCTTTAGATTTTTTAAAGTGTCTTTGTGCTTCAACATGGCATCTTGTAATTAAACATGGTAAACTGAAATGGGCTTTTCACTTTCAAGTATGGATAGTGTCTATGTACTTAATATTTTGTCTTTAAACCTTAATTTTTATATTTTTGGTGAATTATTTTTATTTAAAGAAAGAAAGCAAAAAGTGTAGAAATAATACAAAAGTTCTGAAAAATAAACAATAAGAAATCACTAGTTGATTAGTTACATATTATCATCTTAGAAGTAATTGTGCAAGTTGCAAAATTAAAGCATACAAAGTGATATTCAAATAATGACACTGCAAACAGTTCACCTCAGTGATCCAACAAAAACTTATTAATGATTATCTGTTCTACAAACTTGTTTTTTATCTAAAAGATGGTAAGATTAAATATGACAAAACAGAACAGTTCATAAGGAAACAAGTTAAGGAAACACAGGTTTCAAAGCAAGTCCACTGAGATGTTCATTTTCTATCTTACTGTCTCTAGTTTTCTTCAAAATAGTTGTTCCCATCTTCACATGCATTGAATATATACTGAACATTATAGAACTAATCAAATAATTACAGGATGATAAAGGCTTTTTTGATCTTCAAGACTATTTTGGGGAAGTTGATAATGATTACCATAATGTGTCTCATTCTCTTCGTAGTAGACATCTTTATTTTTATGTATGCTGAAATTGAAGATAAGAGACTAAACTAATATCACTCTGAACAGTGAATAATAGTATCCTGAGAAGGAGAAAGGTGAGGAATTGTCTAAAAAAAGAAGTAAGAGCACATTGTTAAAAGTGTATCAGGATTTAAAAGCTATAGTATTTCTGTTGCTCTGTTTAGTTTGATTATATTTTGTTCTGGTCTGTCTACTCACATTAGATTTGAGGGCAAAGAGAGATAACCCAAAAATGGCAGGTTATACCATGATGGTAATTGTCCTTAATTTCCTATTAACTAAAACTGAAACCTTGTATTACTTACATGGTCTTACTATGACTGATCTTACTGGAAGCTGGTTTGTTTGAATGTTATTTGGCCTTGACTGATTTTATTCACATTTGGTATGATTGCTGGTATCAAGTCCAAGAGTAGAGGAAACTACTCTGAAGATGATAAGATGTGAAAGATATATATTGGGGGTCTGGGGATTTAGCTCAGTGGCTTAAGCCCCTGCCTGGCAAGTGTGAGGTCATCAGTTTGATCCCCAGTACCAAAAAATAAATAAATAAAAGATATAAATTCTGGGTTTAATTTTTTTATTTAAGGAGAAAAAAAGAACATAAAAAAACAAAGCAGTAAAAGGGTACAAATAATACAGAATTTCAAGAAAAAAATACAGTAAGAAATCACTAGTTAATAGGTTACACATTGTCTTCTTAGAAACAGTTGTCCAAATTATAAAATTAAAGCATATAAAGTGAACATTCTTACAGCAAGACTGCAGACAGTTCTGTTCAATGATCCAACAAAAGCTCAGTAATATGGTTTTCCTTCCTACACACTCAGGCAGGCACTTATATCCCTTAGACCACCTTCCTTTCCTCCCTTCTTCACAAAAACAATTACACTTTTGGGTTTTTTTTTTACTTCGATAGTTCTTATTATTTTTTTGAAGAGAATAAAACCTCAAGTGAGTTAACAAAACATAATTGGTTAGAACATAAGGATGGGCATAGTACTTGATGCAAAAATAGAATATCAGGTGATCAAAAATGGTTACCACTGTTCCTCTTGCTATTTTTAAAAAGAGTTCCCTATATAATCAGGTATAATAGAATTGACAAAACAGTACAGAACAAGACCAATAAAATCTAAACTGGAGACCTTACAGAATTTCAAAAGAAGATAATAGTCAAACCATAATGGGCATCATAGTAAATCTTAGTGCCTACAAAGTGGTTGCCTATACCCTCAAACTTGATACTATCAAATAAAATAGAATATAGTAAAATCAGGGAGAATAAGATGGGGAGAGCAATACTGGGGTTAAAATCAGGTTAATAGGAAAACAAAAAAAAGTTACTATAATATATCCTACTATTTTTTAACTTAGTTTTCCTTTAATTGAAAAAGAAGTAAAAATCGAATAATTTTTTTTAAAAAGGGTGGCGATCGAGATAAAAGAGACATTGTAATAGAACAACACAGGTCAGAACTGAGCAATTAAAGCATCATTCTGTTTCACCTCCAGGTAATCTAACATAATAGTAGTCACCATAGCGCCTCTTTCCTTGAATTATTTGAGTATAACTTCGTATACTATAGAATCAATCACATCAAGACAGTGTGAAGCCATTCAAGAGAATGAAAGAATTACAGGGTATTTAGAGCCAGTTAACAGAAAATGAACAACGATTTCGATATTATCTCTTTGCCTGTAAAAATTTTTATTTATACTATCACATACAGTAAAATATATTAAGATACAATATGTTAAAACCAGTGGAAACATTTACAACAACTTGATGGGAGTTCCAGAGAAGATGATATTAAATCAGCACTAGATTTTATGATGTGTTATTTTCTTCAGAATAGCTATTTGTACTATCACCGATACTAAAATCAAAAAACCCAGGGTAAAACCATTGCACTTAATGAGTGAAAACATATGGATTCAAACCAATATGATTGGGTATCATGATTACCACATACTTCTATGTATTATCATTTCTTATACTAGGGAATATATTTGGTATTTATACATGTGAGTTTGATTTATTTCAGTTAGGAGTATGGTCTCAGACTGCGTCCATTTATTTATATGTCAATGTGATCATTCTTTATAGCTGAGTAGTACTCCATTGTGTAAAAACACCATAACTTTTTTATCCATTCCTCAGTTGATGGACACTTAGGTTGTTTCCAAGATCTGGCTATTACAAACTGTGCTGGTATAAAAATGGGTGCACATATATCACTGTGGAATGATGCTTTCAGTTCTTCTGTGAATATGCCTAGAAGTAGAATAGCTGGGTCAAAAGGTGCTTCCAGTCCTAGCTTTCTGAGAAATCTCCAGACTGAACTCCACAATGGTTGTGCAGTCTACACTCCCACTAACAGTGCAGGAGAGTTCCTTTGTCCCAACAGCGTTTCCAACATTTGTTGTTGGTGGTTTTCTTGATCTTGGCCATTCTTTCAGGAGTGAGATGAAATCTCAGTGTGGTTTTAATTTGCATTTCTCTAATGACCATTGATGGTGAACATTTTCTTATGTATTTACTTGTAATTTGTATTTCTTCATCTCAAAATTGTTTATTCATCTCAGATGCTCATTTTTGGATTGGGTCTTTGAATTTTGGTGTTCTCATTTTTGAAAATTCTTTATATGTTTTAGACAGAAGTCCTCTGTCTGAGGGGCAGTTCACTAAGATTTTTTCCCAGTTTGTGGGTTTTCTTTTCACTATACTGGAGATTTCTTTTGATGTGCAGAAACTTTTTAATAAGAGGTGATTCCAATTATTGATTCTGGGAAGCATTTCCCATGCAGTTTGAGTCCTGTTCATGAATTCTCTACCTACTCCTATGTCTTCAAGGTTTTTACCCAACTTGTCTTTCAATAGATTTAGTGTTTCTGTTTTAATATTTAGATCTTTGATCTATTTAGATTTTATTTTAGTACATGGTGATAGACATGGGTCTAGTTTTAGTTTTAGGCATATGGAGAGCCAGTTTTTCACCACCATTTATTAAAGAGAATGTCATTCTTCCAGTGAATATATTTGGCCCCTTTATCAAAGATAAGGTAGTTGAGTGTGTTTGTAGTTGTGGTTGTATCTTCTCATCTATTCCACTGATCTTCGGCTCTGTTTTGATTCCAGTAGCATGTTGATTTTATTACAGTTGCTTTGTAGTATAACTTCAAGTCAGGGATTGTGGTACCTCCTGCCTTGCTTTTGCTGCCTCTAACTGTCTTTACTATTCTAGGTTTCTTCTCACACCAGATGAATTTTAGGGTGATTTCTCAAGTTCTATGAGGTATGTTGATGGTATTTTTATCGGGATTGCATTGCGTCTGTATAAAAGTTTTGGGAGAATGGCCATTTTCACAATATTTATTCTTCCTATCCATGAGTAAGGGATGTCTTTCCTTTTTTTGAAATCAAATTCAATTTCATTTTTCAGTGTGTTATAATTTTCCCTGTATAGGTCTTTCACTTCTTTCGTGAGAGTAATTCCTAAATATTTCATTTTCTTGGTTGCTAGTGTGAAGGGTGTGGCCTCTCTTATTTCTGTCTCTGTGACTTTGTTGTTAGTGTATAGGAATGATATTGATTTTTGAGTATTGATTCTGTATCATGCTACATTACTGAATTTATTTATTATATCTAGGAGTCTTTCAATGGAGCTTCGGGGATCTTCCAGATAAAGTATCATGTCATCTGCAAATAATGATAATTTAACTTCTTCTTTCCCTATCTTTACGGCTTTTTTTCTCCCTCTTTTCTAATTGCTCTGCCCAGTATTTCCAGTACTATATTAAATAGGAGCTGTGATAAGGGACATCCTTGTCTTGTGGCTGATTTTAAAGTAAAGGCCTTCAGTTTTTGACCATTTAATATGTTACTGGCTGTTGTTTTTTCATTGCCGGCCTTAATTATATTGAGGTAAGGACCATCTATTCCAATTTTCTGCAAGGTTCTTATCATAAATGAAGGTTGGACCTTATCAAAATCTTTTTCTGCATCTATAGTAATGATCATGTGACTATAACTTTTGGCTCTATTGATATGGTCTATTACATTTATTGATTTACATATATTAAACAATCTCTGCATGCCTGGGATGAATCCCACTTGGTCATGGCATATGATCTTCTTGTTGATTTGCTGCATCCTATTTGTCAATATTTTATTGAGGATTTTTGCATCGTTGTTCATTAGGGAGATTGGTCTGTAGTTCTCTTTTTCAGTTGGGTCCTCCTCTGGTTTTGGTACTAGAGTAATATTTGCTTCTGGGAACAATTTATGAAGGATTGCTTCCCTTTCCATTTCAATGAAGAGTTTGAGGAGTTTTGGCATTAGGTCTTCTTTGTATTTCTTGTAGAATTCTTCAGTGAATCCGTCTGGGCCTGGGCGCTTCTTTGTAGGTAATGATTTTATTATGTTTTCAATTTCATTATTAGAATTTGGGTTATTCAGTAGTTTTACATCTTCATGACCTAGCTTTGGTATTTCATATGCTTTAGGAATCTGTCTATTTCTTCTGTGTTATAAAACCTTTGAGAGTAGAGGTTTTCGAAATAGGTGTTGATGATCTTCTGTATTTCAATAGGGTCTGTAATAAATTCACATCTTTTATTCCTTATTGCATGGATTTGAACTTTTTCTTCCATTTTATATAAGGTTGGCGAGGGGCTTTTCAATTTTATTTATTCGTTCAAAGAACCATGTCTTTGATTCATTGATTTTTTGATTGTTTTTTTAGTCTCTATTACATTGATTTCTGCTCTGATTTTTATAATTTCTTCTCTTCTTTTGGCTTTTGGCTTGACTTGCTCTTCTTTTTCTAGATGTTTGAGGTATAATATCAGGTTATTTACTTGTACTCGTTCTGTTTTCCTAATGTGAGAACTCGTGCAATAAATTTTCCTCAGAGGACAGCTTTCATTGCATTACACAGATTCTGGTACATTGTATTTGTGTTTCCATTTGTTTGTAGGTATTGTTTAATTTCTTCTTGAATTTCCTTTGTGACTCACTGATTACTCAAGAGTGTTATTCAGTTTCCCCGTGTTTGTGGGATTTTTGCAGTATCTTTTATCATTAATTTCTAATTTCATAGTGGTATGGTCTGATAGCATGCAAGGGATAATTACAACCCTTTTGCATTAATTTAAATATGCTCTGTGAATTAATATATGGTCTATTTTAGAGAATGACCTATGTAATACTGAGAAGAATGTGTATGTTGTTGTTGGGTGGAATACTCTGTATATGTGTATTAAGTCCATTTGTTCACAGGTGCCATTCTGTTCTTTTATTTCTTTGTCATTTTCTGTCTGGTTGATCTGTCCATTGGTGTCAATGGTGTGTTAAGATCTCCTGTTAGAATTGTGTTAATGCTAATTTGATTTTTCATTTTTGTTAGTACTTGTTTTATATAACTGCGTGCTCTGGAGTTTGGTGCATATAAATTTAAGATAGTTTTCTCTTCCTCTTGGAGTTTTCCCCTAACCATTATGTAGTGACCTTCTTTATCCATTCTGATCATTATTGGCTTGAAGTTCACATTGTCTGCAAACAGAATAGCTACCCCCCCTTTTTTTTGGTTCCTGTTGCATGAAGTATTGTTTTCCATCCTTTGACTTTCAGTCTGTGAGTATCCTTTTGGATTTAGATGGGTTTCTTGTAGACAACATGTTTGGATTTTGTTTCTTAATCCATTCTGCCAGTTGGTTTCTTCCAATTGGTCCATTGAGACCATTTACATTAATGGTTAGAACTGTTATATATTGGTTTATTGTTGACATGTTATCTTTCTGCTGTTGCATCTTTATTTTCTGCTCTTTTTAACTATCTGTTTTGTTTAGTGGTTTTTTCCTAAATGTATCTAGGCTGTCTTTCAGGATTCTTTGCAGAGTTGGCTTGGTGATCATGAAGTTTTTCAGCTTTTCTTTAGTATCTTATTTCTCCATCGATTTTGAAGGACAGTTTTTCAGGGTTCATCAGTCTAGGTTGGAAATCATTTTCCTTTAGGATCTGAAATACTTTGCTGCATGCTCTTCTTGACTTCATTGTTTGTGCTGAGAAGTCTGCTGTGATTCTGATATGTTTTCATTTATAGGTGATCTGTCTCTTCTCTCTGACAGCTTTTAATATTCTATTCATTTCCTCAATTTCTGGGATGGTCATTATTATATGTCTGGGTGTAGATTTATTTTGGTTATGCCTATTTGGATTTCTATATGCTTCACTGATCTTGATATCAGTTTCCAATCTCGTATTTGGGAAATTTTCAGCTATTACTTCTCTAAATATCCTCTTGACATCCTTTATGTTGTCCCCTTCTTTTTCATTTATCCCTATCAACCTTATGTTGTTCCGCTTTGCATCATCTTGCACGTGTTCAATAGTTATTTCCTGATTTCTTGTTATTTTTAAAAGATCTTTCCTTTCCTGTTCACTGGCTGCAATCTTATCTTCAAGGTCTTAGATTCTATCTTCATATTCATTGAGACAGTTTTTACAACTTTCAGTGCAGTTTTTGATTTCCTGTATATCACTTTGCATCCACTTTATGTATTCTGTTTGTTTCTTATAGAGTTCATCCAGTGATTCTATCTTTTTGTTTAGTTCCTCCAATTTTTTAACTGTGTCTTCTTTAGATATGTTCAGAATCTCCTTCATTTCTTTTAACATTTCTTTTTTTTTTACCTACGAGATTGTTTGAATTTCTTTAATGCTTCCCAAAGTTGCTTCTTTATTTCAGTTACTATTATTTCAGGTATTTCAGTTATGTGAAATGTGTTTTCTTTTATGCACATGGCTCCTAGGCTTTTTTGGAATGGGATGGATGTTTGAAATTGCACTTTGGTCTTTCATTGTGTCATTTTGCTGTATTTTCAAGCTTCTAGTGTTGTTCCAAATGAGGGGGCGAGTTCACCCAGATTGGGACGGGATTCCATGCCTTGGCCGAACTTGCTGGCAAGGTAGGGTGTTCCTCTTGACTGGAATTGGAATCTGTTCCTGGGCCCCACTCGCTGGTCCTGGCAGGAATCTGAGGGCTTATCCTCAGGTGAGGAATAGAGTTACCCCAGCCTGGGAAAGGATTCAGTACCTTGGCCTGACTCCCTGATTCTGACTCGAAGGTCCCAACTCACTGGTCCCTGTGGGCCTCCACCTGGTCCCCAGGTGAGGAAGGGAGTTCCTCCAGACTGGGATGGGATTCCGTGCCTTGGCCTGACTCGCTGGTCCTGGCAGGAAACCATGGGTTCTACATCAGGTTTGATTATTAACTGCTTTCACATCCTACAATGTCTTCAAAGTTGTGTTTTTATAAAAATAGCTATATAATGTTATGCTTAATTATATAGTCCCTGATGATGTGGACAATTCTATTGAAAATAACAAGAGAAGGCATAGTAAGTACTGTGTATCACCTAATATTGTGATCTTATGTCTCTTTCATATCATGATTTTCTAGGAATTTGTTTTGTTGTCTTATTTTGATCTGTTTTCCCCCATAACACAGAAAGGATAGATATACACATAGAGATTCACAAATGAGAAGAATTTCTAACCTATTTATTGGAACAAATAATATAATGCATAATGTAATGAACAGATACACTGAAGAAGAAGTGACACTAAGAAACCCAATGCTATTTCTGTAGCATTATGATATAAAATTGAACAATACTATTATTTACTGTTCAGAGTGAAATTAGTCTAGTCTCTTATTTTTTGGGGAATTGTAATTTTAACATGGCATTGTTTTAATATTTTGATGCACATACTTCATTTTCTCTTTCATAAATGATGTTTCTGAAGTTGATGCAATATTTGGCATTAAGATATACATTTGTAGAGGATTGGAGTATGTGTTTTTGACAAATATGTGTTCTTTTCACATAACTTGTACATTAATGAATGTTATGTTTTCCAAGTTGTGACAAGACATCTGCTAATTTCCTAGCATCACTGGATATCATACCATGTAAATTATGTTGCCTGATTTTGTTTCTCAGTGGAGCCAGTATTGGTCATTTAAGTAAAACTTTGTTTTTCTAACCATCAGAATTTTACTTGTTATGTTTATATTACATCTTTATTTGCTAGTAAGGTTTCCCAACGTGTACCAAATGTAAACCATACTACTGTGAATATCTGATTATGCCATACTGACAGAATCATAACGTCTCCAATAGCACGTCACAATATATATATATATATATATATATATATATATATATATCCAGAAATTATAAAATTTGGCATGATTTATGAGTAACCATACTTTGAAATCAATGTTTCTTAAATATGGAGTTGTTTTGGGGGAAAAGGTTGTTATTGGATGTATCATGCAAATGCCTTTATTTTATTCCTTGATGCTGTGAATGCATTATATATTTTATAATTATTACTGTTTTTTTCCTAAAATACTGAAGTAATGGCATGAAGCAAAACCTAAATTTTGAGCTGTCAACACAGTAAAAATTAAATTTGCTAAATTAAGATTCAGGTTGTGTTCTGTTTTACTGAATTGTGAATTTATACAATGGCATATCACTTTATTTATAAGGACCAGTGCATGACGTTTGTGGTGTGTACTGATTATCTTTAAACACATACACTGGGCCATGAGTCCCAGTTGGTTTCCTGTGGCCTGTGGTTTTCACTTCCATTTTAACATTCATGTAGTTTGTAACGTGTTTAATGCAGTGTTGTTGAATACAAAATCTGCTTAGGAATTATGTTGTTAAAAACTGTGGTGTCATGAAAACACAAGTGAACATTGCATTAAATACCACTAATCCAGTGAAGATAGCGTGCCCAAGTCTCAATTATCCTTTGGAAAATAAATTACTCACGTCTTATGTAATCACCACTAAAACTATATCTATTTTGTACCTGAAGAACCTGATATACTTCACAAAGTAAAAGATACTGTGAAGTACATTGTCAGCCTCTATACACTACAGCATGTGGCCAGATTCCCTGCAGCATATTTCTGCTTACCATCAATGGGAATATTTGGAGTTTGTATTACAGCTAATAATAGAATACTGAATCTATAAGACATATATCCTGAGTACATGCACTTTCTCATTTTACCATGAAAGTAAATCTTGCTGGTCCTGTTGATGCATGCTTGTAATCCTAGCACCTCAGCAGGCTTAAATTAGTGGAAGAGGAAGTCAAGTCTAACATACACAATTAGAGTGACCTTGTCTCAAAATATATCTTCAAGTTCTACAGATGTAGTTTAATGCTTTAGATCTCCTTCCTTTCTTACACAGCCTCAACATTTTTTAATACTCACAATTGCACATCAGTAGTTGTCCTTTTATCAGTTGGCCACCTAGCAGTTAACCCAGAGAAACACTTGGGAAACACATTTGCTTATGCAGTGACCATCCTGAGCATCATTTGGGCAGTTGTCAATTTAACCCATTCATTCTTGTATTGAATGCAGTAGAATTGTCACTTTTATATTTCTTGTTATTTTTTAAAAACTAACAAAAAGTATGCAATTTTTGATCATTTTGTATTTAAATAATTGCATTGGTAAGGAGTTACCTATAAAGATTGGGCTATAGATGATTTCTTTAGTTCAAGCATCAGGAGAGAATGAGATGGGATGATAATTGCTTTGAAGCTGACTTTTGGAGGCAATTGCTAGATGATTTAGCAGAGTGTGAAACAGTTTTTTTATGCCTGCATTTGAAGTTTAAGGAAACAAGTAAGTTGAGGTCAAGAATATAAATGTACAATAGGATAAAAGAATCACTACTGCAAATTGTGATTTTTCTTTTACTTAGGAAGTGTACTTTTTTTGGAAATTTTTGCAGCAGTCTCAAATATGCCTCTATTGGAATAAAACATAGTGAAACTTTTTTTTTATTTAAAGAAAAGGAAATGAAAAAAAAATACATGGAGATTAAAGAATAAAAGGGTAGAAAAATAATACTAAATTACAGACAAACAAAAGGTAAGAAATTGCCAGTTGATAAGTTACAAATTGTCTTCTTCGAAATGGCTGTTTAGGTTACAGAATTAAAGTATTTAGAATGACATTCAAAAAAGTGACCCTACAAACCATTCTGCTCTATGGCCGAACAAAAGCTCCGTAATATGATTATCAGTCCCACCTATTTGTTTTACATCTCTAAGAGGATAAGGTTAACCATATCAAAACATTTAAATTGTTTTTTATTTTTTATTTTTTTTTATTGTTTTATTTTTTTAAACATAGTGAAACTTGAAAGAGCCAGACATTCCATGTTCTGAATGTAGAGGTATTAAAAAACATTTTTTAAATACTTTTGCTGCTGTTTTGTATAGAAAATAAGATAGGGTGACAAAACAAGCAAAAATGACTTTGTAAGATTTTAATCCTCCTTCATAAGCATTGATGTCACAAAAAATCAAACCAAAAGGATGCAGAAATAGACTACAGAATGAGAGAAATTTTGCCTATTACTCCCTGAGAGCTGACATGTAAAACCAATAGGAACGTGAAAGGAATGCACATTTTTCAGAATATGTACAAATTGCCAAGAAATACTTGAAGAACTATTGAGCATTTTTGCACAATAGAAAAATGCAAATAGGGACATCATTTCATTGCATAGAGAACTAATCACCATAAGATCTACAGAATATTCATGAGACTGCAGGAGAAAAGGAACTATTTAATCTTGTTGGTGGAAATGTAGGTAAGTAGTTCAACTACTACTGAAGTCAGTTTTTAAAGTATTCAAAAGACTAAAATTAGTAATTCTCATTAGTGCAGTGCCTCCTTTAGTGGGTATCTTCCCCGAAGAGTTAAGGACATATTGCACTGATACATGCAGATTCCTGTTACTGCAGCAATAGTCATTTTTCTGTGGAGAGCAGCAGCAAGCACTGCTCCATCACCACCAAATACCAATGACGAACAACAAATACTCACTAGTGTACTCCATTTGATAAATGGTGTGATATTTTATTGTGAAGTCAGCTGTGACATAGTTTTTCCAGTAGACTACAGGTCAGTATAAATATGATAGTGATGCTAATATCACAAGGCCATCACTAGTACACTATTATGTTCATTAGATTTGATGTATTTATCTTTTTGAGGAAGCATGTTGCTATGAAGTTCAGGCTGGCTTTGCGGTCACATTATAACCTAGATTGGTCTCAAACAATTCTCCTTCGTTAGTGTCTCAATTACTGGGCTCCACACAAGAGCCACCACGCATAGTTTATATTTCGTATATTAAGTGCATATTCAGCATATTTTATTTCAACTGTTTTTGTTGTTAAAGTATTTCCATATTTTACCTCCAGCATTTGTAGAAACTTTGGCCGTATTGAATTGGTGATGTGCATATCACCAGCCTGATGACATTGTCTGCTGGGTTCAGAGCTGTCAGTATACTGCAGCGAAACATAGATGTACATAATTCTTTCTTTTTCTACTTTCCTTAGAAAAGATTTTTAAAATTTCCATGGATAATCAGAGGGTCAATAACCCTGGCTAGAGTTTAATGCAAATGCTCACAGTTAAGTAGAGTGTAGCACTGACCCAAAGATACTATCATCATCTGTGAGTCTCTATAGTCCTTTCTGTACCCACACTTTCTGCCTGAGCCAGCACCTGTTGTGGGTCCCAGAGTCTGCTGCAAAGCCATGGAATACGTAGCATTGTGACCACCTCTAGACTGGTGTCTAATATGCCACTCTGCTGAGGCAGAGCACAGCTTCTGGCAGGAAGCCAGAGGCTCTGAGGCTCTGAGACAACACAGGTTTTTCTTTGTGAACACAGATAATCTTATATTTATGTAAGACAGACAGCTCTGACCCATATTTCTACCCAGGAAGACAGAAGAGGAATGTGGAGACTGTGAATTAAACAGGGGTGCTACCCTTCTACTCCACCAGTCCGGTCTTGGGTGGGAACCTGACAGTGGCCCAGCCTTGCATCCCCCCCAGACCTGCACCTGCCCATGAGGATCTGCCCTCAGGGCATGTCAGACCCAGTCACACTTGACTTAGGGCAGGAATTGTGTAGGGGGATTCACAGTGGTGGTCAGGCCTTAATGTTACTCTGCTGGACTCAGTGAGTCTGAGTGGCTTGTGGCTGAGTCCTGTAACACCTGTCCTCGTCTCTCTCCTGCCTCTGGGTGCCAGAAGGCTGGGGACAGTGAGCCTTGTCCTTTAATGCCTTTGTCATTTGGTGTTTGCCAGCTATCATCCTGAAGGCTCTGGGATGAGTGAACCATTTTTTCAGCCATTCCCACATGGTTTACCTATGTGGGATCCTGAGGCTGGGGTCTCATGTCCCGGGAAAACAGCATAACCTGCTCCCTGTTCACTGTCTTGAGCCAACTGTCTATAAAGACCAACTGTCACCAGACCAAGGTGCCTGGTGACCTGAGCCTTCAGAGTTCTGTTTGGACCTATTGCCAAGGAAGTGAGGTCATGCACTGGGGTCCACAGTTTGGCCTTCCTCTGGGATATCACCTTTCTTTTAGTTGTGGAACAAATCTATGTCCTCCTTAGAAACAACAAGTTAAAATGCTAGAAAACTGTGTATACTTTTAGACTTTGCTGCACTTCAAAGATTTTAATGCAGCAAACATGTAGATGCTTCAGATGTGTCAGGCTGGGTGCCAAACACAAATGTCCATACAAAGAGTCCATTGTCTCAGAGGATGAAAGACACATTTTCTTCTGTTAAAGATTTGTCAAATGTTAGGATGACTTCCTTTCTTGGGCTTATCTTAGTTTAATTTCAGTTCCATTAGGAAGCAGAATACCCATAATAATTTTACCAAACAATGTGAAGGTCTCATGTTATAAACCCCATATATCCAGGGGAGGAGGATTCATAGCCAGTTTTACTCTCATGTGCTTAAGAATGATTATTTATTCATCCTTAGATGTTCAACTCAGCTATATACCTTAGTGCTCCAAACTCTGACCTCCAGGGAGGGGGACAGCAGGTGGTGAGTAGAAGGGGAGATGACATCATCACGCCATACTGATGAAGGACACATGTGCATCACTCCTGGGGAACTTGTCTCCTAGCTGCTGCTGTCACTTCCTTTCCTCCCATGCCAATCAGACATGGGCTTTGTGTCCCTGATGGGTAGTTTCCCTTTCCTAGAGGTGATGGTGCTGAGCCTTTTCAGTTGTAATACTCTTTGGTTGGTCTCCTTGAAGCAGTGTTTCCATGCTGGGCTCTCTCTGTGCTGCCACCACCCACTATTATGTGGCTGAACCAAGCACATGCACCTGTCACCCATCTTGTGATGGCCTTTTCTTATGTTTTTGGGTCGAACTTCAAAAGGAAGCTGCCATACCCATTCTTACACAAGCATTTGAGTGGATACTGACATTTATTTCAAAGAAAAAGCATCATATTGCTGGTGTATGGATAACTTAGAAATTCTTGCTGTATCTTTGGAAGCAGATGTTTAAAGCAGAGTTATGTGGTTCCTTTTTTATTTTGTTTTGTGTTATTA